CACCGGGTTCCTGAGTCCAGATCCGGTTTTCTTCAGGGTTTGTGAACCTGATGGAATAGACAATAAAAGGTTCAAATCTGTGGAGGAGGCAGTTTGAGCACTCTGACATTTAAGGAGCCCTTTCCTAAATGTCAGGGATGTTTCTCAGGTCTAATCTCGGCCTGGGGCAGTTTGTGGGCGTTCTGTGGCTCATCTCCACCGGTAATCGCTGTGTGCTCATATCTGTCAGCTTCTCTGTTTCCTCTGCTGCTGAAGAATCTTTTGTTGTGATTCTCTGAGTTTTTTCCTTGGGGGGTGAAGACAGCCGCTCCTAACCCCCCCCCCCACCCTGAGCAAGGAATGTGGACGGGATGTTCAGTATTGCTGCTTCTAGGCCTCCTTTTGCCCCAGGAGCCTCCTTCTGTCCTAGAAGACTCCTTCTAGGACAGAAGTTCCTGCTGCCCCTGGGCCAGTTGCTGCTGCCCCTGGGTCAGTTCCTGCTGCCCCTGGGCCAGTTCCTGCTGCCCCTGGGCCAGTTCCTGCTGCCCCTGGGCCAGTTGCTGCTGCCCCTGGGTCAGTTCCTGCTGCCCCTAGGCCAGTTCCTGCTGCCCCTGGGTCAGTTCCTGCTGCCCCTGGGCGGCTCTGTTAGGGTGTGAGCGATTGCTCGACACAGTTTGCAGTAAACTGAGCCGTGTTGACTTTAGCCTGAGCTCACGTGACGCCTGCCTGGTTAGATGCACGTCAAAGCTGAGCTGAGGCCTCTGGGCTTTTTTCATCTGCACGAGGTCGGTTCTGTGGAAGTGTTTGGCGAGCGGCGGCGGTCACACCCGGCGCGGCGTGGGCCGCGGGAATGTGGCTGTCTATCATTCCTCCCTTTATGGCCCTGTCATCGCCCCTTTGTCTTTCAGGACCCAGCCGGCCGCCACCTCACAGCCCAGGATGAGCTCAGAGTACCGCAGCAGGCTGGCCGTGAGGAGCCCCTCGCTTCCTGAGGAGAGCGACACCAAACTCCGCGTCCACAAGCTGTCCCTGACCGCGGGGGGCACCGGCGAGCCCCCGCCGGACCCCGACCCTGACCAGCTGTACCCCGGCCAGCCGGAGCCCGACCCCGGGGCTCTCTACAGGTGGAAGAACAGGTTTGAGGGGCTGAGTCAGTACAGAGCTGCCTCCCTCTCCTCCCCCGGTGCAGAGCCTCTCAGCCCCGTCTCTCTGAGCCGGGACGCTGCAGAGGGGCGGGGCTTGCCGGGGGAGGCGGGGCCGGCCGGCGGAGGGGGGGCGGAGCCTGAGCAGATAAAGGCTGGCGGCGCCTCGCCGCCGCCGTCTGTGTCCCGCAGCAGCCCCGAGGACGAGGAGACCCGCTTCACCGGGGTGTTCAAAGCCACGCTGGTGCAGCTGGATCCCGAGCACGCTGCCCCCCCCTCCAGCCCCCCCGCCTCCCCCGAAGCCGAGTCCCCCTACTCCCTGGACATGAACGCTCTGGTGGACACTCTGAAGAGCCTCCCCTCGCTGAAGCCCCGGAGCTCCGGCCTGAGGGTGCCCCCCCCGGCCCTGGTCTCCTCGCTCCCACCCATCGTGGAGGATGCTCCCAGCTCGGCGGCCCCCCAGCTGCCCCCCCCCGTCAGCGGCCTGGATGTGGCCGATGCCCCTAACGGACTGTACACGCTCCCGGCTGACCTTGGGCTGAAGAGGAGCGCGTCCAGAGACAGCCGCCCCCCCCTGCAGCTGATGAGGAACGACAAGGTATTATCGTCTTCTGTGTGTGTGTGTGTGTGTGTGTGTGTGTGTGTGGGGGGGGTGTACTCTGTAGCATGTGGCTCCTAGAGAAATGTGCTGTGATAGATTCTGCTGTGAGAACGTGTTGTGGATTCCTTCTGCCCCCAGGAGCTCGGTGGCCTGACCCAGAATGGAGGCTCGCTGCCGCCCCCCCCCCACCAGCTCCCGGCTGGACAGCAGCGTCCTGTTCAGCAGCTACCGCTCCGCCGACCAGGCCGCGGACCCCGGGAAGGCCCACCGGCCCCTGTTTCGCGCCAGCTCGCTGCCCGAGAGGCCCCCCAGCGACCGCCTCGCCGGGCCCCGGGAGCAGCAGGGCGAGGGGGAGCCGGCAGGGTCCCGCTTCGAGCGCCTCTCCTTCCTCCTGAACTCCCCCTCCTCCTCCTCGCTGCCGGGCTCCGATGACTCCAGCAGGATGAGCCGAGCTCCGGCTCTGAGCCTCGGCTCCCCGCCGACCCACAGCCCCACCCACCTGCTGAGCCCCGCCGGCCACGGAGACCTCCACTGGCCCTTCGCCAGCGAGTCCCCCACGGCCCTGTTCGGCCAGGGGCCCGGGGCCGGCGGCGGCCCCCTGCTGCTGCAGAGGAGCCTCAGCTGTGACGGGGCCCCCATGTCCAGTCCTAATGGCCCCAGGGTCCAGTCCTCCCTGCTGAGCAACACCAATGGAGGACCACAGTTTCAGAGCCAGCTACAGGAACCAGACCGTAACCTGATTTCCAAGTACCGGGCATTCCCCGATGCCTATGTGAGTTCCTAACCCTAACCCTAACCCTAACCCCAACACAGACCCAGACCCGAGTCTGACTTGATCAGTTGTCTCTGACTCACAGAATCTGCTATAACCTTCTGACTCTCTGAATCTGTGACTCTGACTCTCTGACTTTGAGTTCCTGACAGTGACTAGCATGCTAACAGATGCTTTACGACATGTGTCAGAGCGTCGGATGCTCATTCCTAAGCCGACAGAAGGTCAGAGCTTTGCAGAGAGGAGATCTAAGCTCTATCTCTCACCTGTCAGACTGATGCGCCTAAAAAGATTTCTAGGTGTGTGCTTTGTGTGGATGTCACGCATGTCTCCACTTGCTCCTGCGTTTTAATGCCTGTGAGGGAATTTTCTGATCAAAACATGCCTGAAATGGTTTTTCTTGGCTGCACGCACATCGCCACCCGTCACCCTGTTTATCGTCAACTATTACTTAATGGTTATGGCTCAGGAGCACATTAAGATCTGCCTGCGGCAGGGAGCATGTGACTTTTGGGTTATCTCAGTTCGTGCAAACAAAACATCTGGTATCTGGAAGTTCTGAAGAACAGGCTTGATTTTTTTTTTCAATGAGATGCGGGCGTTTGGGCAGATTCAGGGATATGAGCTCAGTTTGTCGGAGGAAAGCAGTTAGAGGCTGGAGGCCCTACAGGATCCCCTACAGGAGCCCCTACAGGAGGCCCCGAAGCAGAGGGCAGCACCTCAGGGACAAGCAGGTCACAGGCGGCTGATGTTGGGGAGCTAGCAGCTCAGGCAGGTGTAACCTCAGAAGCCGGTCCGGCTCAGCTGCAGGCACGGCCTGATGCCATCTCTTTCTGTTGTCACGGTTACGAAACGGCCAGCTGGTTTAGCTCCAGTCTGTGTCTGGCAGCACTGACACTGCATGTGAGGAGGCGGAGCAGAGCTGGGGCCTCAGTTCAGAACATGTGGGTCTCCAGGTGTCACTCTTAAGTTGGAATCTTACTGTTTGGCCCTGCGGGGGTTCTTCTGTAATGACTGGGTAAACTGTAAGTAGTAAAAGTGTTCCAGATGAACAATGCTGCCAGACTGGTGCTGCAGACCCACCACAGCTGACAGGTGCTCCATCATGACTGCCTGACGATCTGTGAGGGTTTTTATCTAGTGTACAGTCTCCACCAGCGGGGCTCTGGGCTCTGAAGCCCCCTACAGCCTCCCCCAGTGGGGCTCTGGACTCTGGACTCTGGCTGAGGGATCGGTAGTCAGAGATCTGAGAGGCAGCTGCAGGATGCTGCCTGGACTCTGAGTTCCTGGGCCACCGTGTCCTGGTTCCACACCAGCCTGAAGCTGGGTGAACTTTCCCCTCGGCTGCCGAGGGAAACGCTTTCTGCAGAACATTCTGTGCTCGTGTTTTTCTGCAGGGTTCCTGAGCCGCACCCATGGCAGCTATCTGCTCCTGCAGAGACACGGCCTCACCTTTTTTCTTTCATCCTTCTGCACACGTTTGCTCGATGTGCTGGAATGGAAGAGCAGGAGGTGACAGGGCTGCTCATCTCTTTGTTTCTGCCGCTGCTCTCGGGGAGAATGGTCTGCTCAGCAGCTGCTGAGGAGGCTGGGACACGCTAGTTGTTTTCGGTTTTGTGGAGAAGTCAGATAAAAATGAGGTTGTCGACAATGCCCCATGTCTGTTTTCTCACTGGTTGTTCAGAATCTGTCAGCGGGTTTCACGTGGACCTGTAGAAGGTGGGCCGCTGGTTCGTCCCCATTTTGAAGCCCTGATCTGTGTTGGCTGGTGAGATACCCTATCCCAGATGTCAGAGATAGGGTTAGGGGTTAGGGG